AACATCAAAAAAAAAAAAAAACCAAAACCCAAAAACTAAGATCTTGACAACTGGTCCCAACACTTCCTGGCAAATGGAGGGAAAAGAAAGCAGTGCCAGATTTTATATTTGGGGGCTCAAAGGTTGGTATAGATGGTGACTGCAGGCACGAAATTAAAAGACACTTCTTGGAAGGAAAGCTATGGCAAATAGGGATGGCATACTAAAAAGCAGAAATATCCCCTTGCTCACAAAGACCAAAGTCAACAGTCAAAGCTATGGTTTTTCCAGTAGCAATGTATGGCTGTGAGAGCTGGACTATAAGGAAAGCTGAATGCCACTGAATTGATGTTTTCAAGTTGTGGTGCTGGAGAAGACTTTTGAAAGTCCTTTGGACAGCAAGGAAATCAAATCAGTCAGTACTTAAAGAAATTAATTCAGGCTGTTCACTGAAAGGTAAAATACTGAAGCTGAAGCTTAAATACTTTGGCCACATAATGAGCAGATGGGACTCTTTGGAAAAGATCCTGATGTTGGGAAAGATTAAAGGCAACAAAGAATGAGATGGATAGATACTGTCATGGAAACAATGAACATGAACTTGGACAGACTTCTAGAGATAGTGGAGGATAGAAAGGACTGGCCTGCTATGGTCCTTGGGATCATGAAGGGTTCCACAAGACCGAATGATGGAACAACAATAACAAATTTCCTCCTAATCCTAAAAAGTTCTATTATTTTAAACACTTTTATTTTATTTTTTCTCTTCTTTTTTATTTTTTATATATTAATTTATTTTGATTTATCAATAATCACTTCCATATGCTTTTGAGTTTAAAATTTTTCTCCCCCTTCCTCCCCACCACCCTCCCCAAGATGGTGCACAATCTGACATAGGCTATACATTTACATTCATATTAAACATATTTTCACATTAGTGATGTTGTAAGTAAAAATTAAAACCAATAGGAGGAACCATCAGAAAGAGGAAACGAACCTCAACAGAAGAGAAAAAAAAATAGCAATTTAACTTCCATACTTCTTTCTTTGGATGTGGATAGCATTTTCCATCACACGGCCTCTGGAGATGTCTTAGATCTTTGTATTGCTGGGAAGGGTTAAGTTTATCAATATTAGTCTTTACACAACATTGCTGTTATTGTGTACAACATTCTCTTGGTTCTGCTCACTTCACTCAGCATCAGACCATACAAGTCTTTCCAGGTTTTTCTGAAGTCAGCCTGTTCATCATTTCTTATAGCACAATAGTATTCCATCACATTCATATACCACAACTTGCTCAGCCATTCCCCAATTGATGGACATCCTCTCAATTTCCAATTCTTTGCCACCACAAAAAGATCTGCTATGAATATTTTTGTACATGTGGGTCCTTTTCCCATTTGTATGATCTCTTTGGGATATAGCCCTAGAAATGCTATTGCTGGGTCAAAGGGTATGCACATTTTTATAGCCCTTTGGGCATAGCTCCAAATTTCTCTCCAAAATTGTTGGATCATTTCACAACTCCACCAACAATGCCTTAGTGTTCCAATTTTCCCACATCTTCTCCAACATTTATCATTTTCCTGTTTTGTCATGTTGGCCAATCTGATAGGTGTGAGGTGATACCTCAGAGTTGTTTTGATTTGCATTTCTCTAATTAATAGTGATTTAGAGCATTTTTTCATATGACTATAGATGGCTTTAATTTCTTCAACTGAGAACTGTCTGTTCATATCCTTTGACCATTTATCAATTGGGGAATGGCTTGTATTATTTTAAACACTTTTAGAAAGAATTTGAGGATCATGGGACTAGATTTTCACAGCATTATTATTATTATTATTATTATTATTCACAGCACTATATTCATATGCCCTATTCCATTGGCATAATAATTCTGAGGACATGTACACTCATGCCAAGTAAAAGCACAGTTCTATATTAAGGCATTAAGGGGTCTTAGGCATAGTGAATGTCCTCACTCATTTTGCTCAGGTCTGGGGTTGGGAAGGCTCTTGGATAATGAGTAAATAAGGTAGAGGTCCACTTCTTCCCATTTCTACCTTGCATAAAAAGGGTGACAAATAAGATCCAGTTAATACAAATACTTCATATTTTATAAAGGAATGAGCAACAGGCTCTCACAGAATGCCTATGTGGGAGAGGCTGAGGAGTTTAATTCCAGAGAAGTCATGATGATGTAATGGAAATGCCTTGGAGAGACCTTGGAGTATGCATAGACATTCTTTAACTGGTTCTACTCTGCTAACCACATAGTGATGAGAAGCCTTTTCAACTAGCTTTGTATATAGAAATTGGAGTGCCTGAAAAAGACACTAGAGAGCAGAAAGCCTTGGTTACCCCTTCTCTTAGACTAATTTTTGTCTTTGAGCCCTCTGACAATGGCATGCAATGAGAGATGGTGCTATAAAGTGAGGCCTTGGGCATTTTCCTCTCTAAGGCTGACATAGCTCCATAAATTTACAAATCAGGAAAGTGAGCCTCTGGGAGAGTGAACCTACAAGGTACTTCCTACAATAATGTGCTTCATGTATATTAGTTTACCCTCAAATGATACTCAAATAACATTGTGAGGTAGGTAATGAAAACATCTTTCAGAGAGAAATAATTAGCAAATCATTTTACAAATGGAGAAACAGGCTCAGAGAGATTAGGTGAATTGTAAATGGCTACATGGCTAGTAAATAGCAAAGTCAGGGGTCTCCTGACTTCAAATACAATGTACTGCCTACCATGCTTTGCTGCCTTGATTCTTCCTCACCATCCCAGAATAAAACTAGTTTCATATTTTCCGTCTTTTTCCTCTAGAAGGTGCTCAATCCAGTTAGTTATGGCAAGAAACAGAATAGTCTCATGTGGATAGAGTAGCAACGATGATTAGGATGGCAGAAACAGCAGAAAAGAGAAACAAAAGTGGAAATTTTGTGCATGGGAATCAGATTGTACTGTGTCTTGAGAAAATGTTCCTTTTACATTGCAGCTAAGCAGATACGTAAACTTGCCTAATATCACATAGATGTGTAGTAGCAGTGCCAGAGGTCAAACTTATATCCTTGGACTCCACCTTCAGCCCACTCTTTCCACTGAACCACACCGCCTCTGTTCATAAATGTTTGTTAATTAAACCTTTTTTTTTTTTCTCCTTGACTTATGATTTCATCAGTGGGTAGAATTTGAGAGCCTGGATTGTTGAGAGGTTAAAGAGCCTTACTCATCGTTTATGAAATCATAGATCATGAGCTGAAAGAGTACTTAGAAGTCAGGTAGGTCAGGCAAAGGGGCAGCTAGGTGGTACCATGGATTAGATTGCTGGAACTCAGGAAAACCTAAACTCAACTCCAGCTTCAGACAACAGCTATGTGACCCTAAGCAAGTCACTTAATATCTATCTGCTTTCACTTTGCTCATTCACACAATGGGACCTACCCCTAGGTAGCTATTGTGAGGACAAAGGTAATACTATTTGTAAAGTGCTTTTGCAAACCTTAAAACACTACATACACACTAGCTGTTATTATATTAAATGTATTAAAAGGCAGAGCTTGAGCTCGGGTATTCCTGATACTTCAATTCAATCAGAAAGGGAGTCATTTAAACCCTTCGCTGTTGAATATGACAATTGTGCCCCTTGTGTGTTGTCTTAGGCAGTCTGAGTCCTTACTATGACACAATAGGATTTTAACTAATCATGAAAGAAATACCTAAGTGCCACTAAGATGGGAATTTTCTGCTATTAAAAAGTTTTCGTTTATACAAAGTAATAATAAAAAGTGTTTCATTGCACAACTCCTCTGTCCTTCCGCCCATGTTGCCCTCTAGGAAGCTGCCTCTTTTGCCCATCCCTAGTTCTGGCTCTGGTAGGAAGGGGTAGGTGCTAGTAGTAAATGCAAAGAGCTATAGAAAAATGGCATTACCCTCTCCCCCAGAAAACTCTTTTGCGTAGGGGTCGGTTGTAAATTAGTCAATGGCTAAGGCAATGAGAGAGAGAAAGGAAAGGGCAACCCTTGGAGGCCCTGGTCACCTCTGTCACCCTAAGCCAGTGACACCATTGGAACCAGTTTCTTGCCGGCATTAAGGGTTTCTGAAATTAGCAGAGGCCCTTTGGGGGAGATCTATCTCGAGTCCCTGAGGCTGATCAAGGACATCCTTCATACCCAGCCCCTCCAAGGACCCGTCACCTGGTCGGGTCAAGAAGCTGGCTTTCTAGGCAGGCTAAGTTACCTTCCTCAAGAGTCTGGCTAGGAGAGGAGGAAGGGACGGGTAAGGGAAGAAGCTGGGTGCTGGGTGGGAAGGCGAGCCCTGGAGCCGTGTGCAGCAGGCCAGGGGACCCGACATCCTACTGGGCGGTCTGGGGAGTCTATGGAGGTGCTGGTTAGCGCGGCTCTGACCCAGGCCAAATCCAAGGCTTCTGGAGGTGGGGGACGTTCTGGGGCTGAGCTCAGACACTGGGGCGGCGCCACGTGCACGCTCCTGGAATTTGCTATTCCTTCCCCCCCATCCCACCCCCATTTCAGTCTCACTGCTCCTGCCTGCGCGCGGGCTGCAGCTGCAGTGGCGGCGAAAGCTCGGAGTCGTTAAAGCCTTTGTATGGGGTGGGAGCGAACCCGGGTTTGTTGGAGGTGGAGGGGCGAAGGCAGAGGAACAGGCATGAAAGCACCCTCAGTCTGCCCAAGTGAAGCCTAAGACGTCGGCCTAGAGGTATGGGTGCAGAGCATTCTCTCTCTAGAAAGATGTGTCTAGGACACGCAGCCCAAATATGTGTATGTAACAGAGACCGACGGAGTCGCAGCCCAGTTCTCTTTCCAAAAGGAGGACGTCTCCTTTAAGGAGGGAGCCCTGGGTTACCCAGGGGGGCGGGACACCCTGTGCAAATAGAGACAGCGGCAGAAGCGGCTCGCGAGCGATGCTCTTCTTCACTTTCTGCTCCAGCTCCCGCCGCTGCCTCTCTTTCCCCACCTCCTCTTCCTCCTCCTCTGCTTTCCCTTCCTCCTCCTCCTCTTCCTTCTCCTCCTCCTTCGCCACCAGCTTGCACGAGAGCTTTTGTTTTCCGGCGCCGAGGAGAGAGCTGCTATGTCCGGAAAGTTCCCAGAGGGATCGGCTCAGTCCATGCTGCTTGGGCTCCGCAGGGATTCCCCGGGCTTTGTCCTTTGTCCGAGGTGAGGCTTTTGGACCCTTTGCGTGCGGTTTTCCTTGGTGGTGGTGATGGGGAGGGTCCTTGAAACGGGGTTGCTGTGGGTGGGAACGCTGGAGGGCTTTCTGTTCTGGGGCGTTTCTCGGAATGCGCTTAGGTAAATGGGAGCCAGTGGCAAGCAGGCTCCCTGAATTTGCAGAAGTTGGGGTTGGGGGCTGGGTATTTTCGGGCACCGCGAACCCAGTTGCAGTTGGAGACATAATTTTCTGCAGCGGAGCCCCTCTTTAGCAGAAGGAAGACTCCTGGCAGCATTGGCCTTTCCAGAGAAAATGCCACCCAGTGGACTAGATGGGCACTCATTTTCTCTGACACTTGCCCCTTCTCTTATATATAGTCCTTTCAGTTACTAACCCTAAACCCTCCCTTTTCTCCTCTCCCACCTCCTTTCCCCAGAGTAGGAGGGATCCTTAAGCAATTAGGCCTTCTTGGAAATCAGAGCACTTAGCCACAGTATGGCATATGATTCCAAATCTTTCAAGTGTCCAAAAGCTCAGGTTCAGAAGGTTGGGGATGAAAAAACTAGAAAAGATCTAGAAACCTTTTGAACCTTAGGACAACGTCTTGGCATTTTCGTAGTTAAATATCACAATGGTTTATTAACTGGTAGCTGTTGAATTAGGTGAAGAATTGGTTTTGGGGAGAAGGAGTTTGGGAAAGGCAGATAATTCAGGGGCATACAGTGCCTTTTAATGTTATTGAACTGGAGGCAGATGTGTATCTGTGTCTTTCATTGTTTCCTTAGTTATATTTTCAAGACAACCTTCATTTCAGATCTTTAGCTGATTCCCTTCCTCCTCTCTCTCTCCTTCCCCATTTTGGAATTATGTAGTTTTGCAGAAAAGCTTTTTTTTTCCTCTCTCTCTTGGATTCAGGCTTTTACTAAGGATAACCATAGTAGTAGAAAGAACATACCTTCATAGCAATTTTGTCCCTTCAACCCCCCACCCCCTCCCATTCAAGTTATGAACGAGTACTGTAAAATATAGACTACGTACTAATGCATGTTGGAAATCCAGGAATTCCTCTAATCATGCTGCAGTGTCCAGTGAAAATGTAATGGTATGATTTTACCCCCCTCTCTTTTTATATTTATCAGTATTTTTTCTTTATTTTATTTGGTCAATTTGCTTTTCATTCAATCTTAGCTTAAGACAGCCTAAATTGGGAAAAGCCTATTATATCCAGGAATGATAATTAGAAGGCATTACCTGATGTTCCACTTAGATGATTTTGCTGAGAGTATTGCTTAGCTAAAGGTAAAGGTCTTGATGAATCCAAAGGTGATGTGCTTCAACATATAATGAGTTTTTAAGATAATGTGACAGAAAAGGCTTTTTGGTCTGGAAGTAAGACAACTCAGGTTTATGCCTTGGCACTGCTACTCACTGTGTAACCTTGTGCAAATCGCAACTTCTCTTGGCCTCCCTTTATCTGGGAGATAGAATAGGTCATAGGATCTTAGATTTAGAGTTGGAAGGAACTTTTAAGGTCTTTTAGCCCCAACCCCTTCAATTTATACCGAGAAGGAAATCAAGACCCTAAGGTTTCTCTCAATTCCAAAAGCTAATAATTACTATAATCCTCATTTTGCTACTAATTGGTTGGGTAAGTTGCTTAACCTCTTTGGATCTCAGTTCCCTCATCTCTAAAATGAGGGCATAGGCAAATTTTTGTTGACTTTTTTGTTTAAAATAAATGAATCAAGACCATTTTATAAGGTGTAAGCTTATAAAAGCTGTGTAAGCTCAACCAAAGAAAGTAGTGGCATGTGGGATTTTTTTCTTAGTGTGAGAAAGAGGGTCAAAACAATTCTTTTGTCATCTGTCTTGGTTATGCTGTTACGTCTACAAGGGAGTATAATGTGCATGCTTGCAAATGGATTGATAGGGATTGTGGGAGAGAAATTCTAATTGTAATAGGAGAATTTTTACAGAATATCATGCCAGAATAAACTTCTAATACTCATAAATTATATTTGGACAATATATGATCTCTTCTGATCACAGTATTTTCCCAGTCCTTTCAAAAATACTAAGACATTTCCCCTTTGCCCTCCAACAAAGTATCTTCAGCACCTGAAAATTTGTGATGAGCTGAAAAAGATTTGAAAACCAATTACTTGGGGTTGAGTCAAACACTAAGAAATTCCCACTAAACTCTAGCTACCTCTTTATTTCAGAATTTCTGGACCTTGGAGGCAAAACAGTAAAGCCAGGTTCATTATAATGGGTTCACAAACTGCTTTAATTTAGCTCCTAGGATTTTATCAATTGGTTTTTCTGCATTGAAATTTTGGAGTTGAGTTTATTCTCTTTGATGGATTATAATAGCTGTTTTGTGAGTGCTTCTCTTTGAATGTTTTAAACATTGTTATGAAATGTGTATTCACATCCAGCCATCACTGACAAGATTAAGCCTTAACTTGCTAAAGCATATGCCTAAAGAGCAAAGCTATAGTCATTAGAAGCAGTCCCTAGTGACTATTGTTTTTTTTTGTTAGTTATTATAAATTCCTTTTAATACTATTGTTTGTGTCCTTTGTTTTCATATGCTGATTCTTAACTTGACTTGGTCAAGGGCCACAGATACAAACAATCACTACCAATGGTTGTTTTTGCCCCCAGACTCTTAAAAGGTATTGTTTCTTGTCACAATACAGTGTTTGCCATGCCCAGCATTACTCTGGCATCTCTAATATGCTTTCAGAAGAGTAATACTCTTCATAAAATTATGTCCACCGAGGTAAGTTTTTCTTCCTATGGTAGCTGGTTAAATTTGCTGGAGATTTTCCCCCTTTTATTCTTAGCCATCAATGTCTAGAGATTTATTGGGTAGGATTAAAAGTCACCTTTCTGGGAGTCAAGCTATAGATAGAGAAGTTTGAGAATTCCATTTTGGGAAACATTGTATTAGATATTGGATTTGAAAGAAGGGCCAGTAAATGGATTGTTTAGGTACAATGTATTTAAAATCTAGTGATTCAGCGACAGACTAAACCAATATCTCTGGCCAACTTTTGTCAGATGGCACATCAGTGATACTTAATTGCCAAATCTGAGATATACGCACACAGACACACACAGACTTATGTATGTATGTATGTCATATGTGTATATATACATGCATATAAACACCTGCACATGTAATCCATGCGTATGTGTGCATATAAAGTCAACTGTCAACTGAAGCAGTAATTCCTAGATTTAGAGCTGGAAGGAACCTTAAGGATCATTGAGCCAACCCCTTCAAATTTGCAGAAACTGGGAGAGGTTAAGTGACTTCAATTTACTGAGTACTAAATGAGCATCTTTTATGTCCAAGGCACTTTCTTAGCACTAGAAAAAATCGAGACATGATTTCTCAGGTAATAAGCAGCAGAGCTGGGATTTGAACCCAGGTTCCCTAATTCCAAAGCAACCAACCTTTCTGTTGTACTAACTATTTGACTACTCAGAAAAACATTTGAGGGTTTTTTTTTTCATTTACTAGTGTGATTTCAAGACATGTGTACTTATTTTCTGCAAGTGCCCTTTGTTGTCTTACAATTAAGGATTTTTTGTACCACACATATTCATTAAGTGCCTACTGTGTTCCAGGCACTGGGATAGGCACTGAAGATAGAAAGACTAAACTAAAAAAAATCCCTACCCTCTTCTTAAGAGGCAGAAAACCTCTTAAGAGCAATTCAATTTGAAGCTAACCACTCATTTTAAAACTTATTCTTAGGGTTTGAGAGTGTTTCATTTTTTTTTTGCTCCTATATAATTATATGATTGAAAAACAAGAAATCGGTATTTTTTTTGGCTATTGAACTAAAACCATAGCATTTTAGAGATGGATGGGGTTTTGCTAGTTGACAATTTTTTTAAGTTGACATTTTCTTTTTTAGGCTAGATGTGACTTTAATTTGAACTGGATTTGACTACAAAGTGTAGGTACTTTTGCAACCACAAAACATGAGGAACATTCCCAATAATTTGCAGTGTGGGCAGGCTTACATACTCCAGTGAAGGATTTGCTTCAAGCATTGAGCCATGCTTGGAAAAGATAATTTTAGAAACTGTTGGCCTTCTAACAGTTTTCGGTCATTGAATTTTATGAATAGATTAAAATACCGATGAGTCTTTTGAAAAAGGTAAATTTGAATAGCTATTGAAACCAGCTTGTATCTGCCACCTCCTTCTGCTGGTTACTGTAAAACATATTTTTAGCCAAATGCTTTTGAGGGTTCACCCACAAAAAAACTCATTAGAAAGGAAAAAGTTTACTAAGATCACATTTATGTAGGATCATAGATCTAGAAAGCTTAGAAAACTTAGAGGTCATCTATTCTAAACCCTTTGCTTTCCAACCAAGAAACTGAGTCACAGAGACTTGCTCATGGTCACATAATTAGTAAATGGCAGAGCTGTGATTTGAACTCCCAAATATAGCTCTCTTTCTACATATCATATTGTTGGATGTGCCATAAAGTATACTGGACTTGCATTTAGGTCCCAGTTCTGCCATTTATTAGACATGTGGCCGTAGATAGAAAGATCACTTAACTTTTCTGATCCTCTGTTTCCTCAACTGTAAAATGGGAATAATGATACTCTATTTTCTTTTTCATAAGACTTTTATGAGGCAAGTAATTTTAAAATTGTAACCTTTGAGCCATCGTTACTGTGTGTAATTTTGCATGGTTGTTATAAATGACAGAATTGTAAATTTGGAAGTAACCCCAGAAGGCATCTAGTCTGACCTCCTCCCCATTATAGCACTCCTTTTTACAACATACTATGTCATTATTCCTCTGCTTTACTGTTTCCTGTGATAGAGAACTTACTGGCAGCCTGTTCCATCATTGGACAGTTGTAGTTGTTAAAGTTCTTCATATACTGAGCTTAAATCAGCCTGTCTATAAATCCCATCCATTATTGGTAGTTCTATTATTATCATGTTATCAAAGTGCCTGATGTCATT